CCAAGTACAAGCTCAACCTGGAGCATGACCTAACCCATTTAACTCATAAAACCTTATATTCAAGCTCCTTTGTAAGTTGTATAACCACATACAGAACTCTTAACAATACTTCATTATTTTAAAAACTAAAAAAAAAAAAAAGGGAACAACTACATCTTTGTAAGATTTGTATTATGAACGGAAGGAATCAAATTTTCAAATTGAACCAAAGTTTCAATACCGCCTGAGGTGATTTATGAAATGTACTGTTATGTATATTACACAACATAGCATGAGCCTAAATTATGTCGACCAACCTTATCATCTGTGTCCCTTATACACTTTTTTTTTTTTTTTAAGGGAGTTTTTTTGCTATAGGGCTCTTGCACTTGCTGGAGAGACTGACAGAGACGCTCGCCAGACAGAGAGACAGAAAGCGAGAAATCACCCCCCAGGGGGGATGGTCACGCTGCAATCCCTTCTCCTCCATCCTCCTCTCAGGATCTTGGGCTTGCACACACACGCGCCCGGCGGGAGTTCAAAGCCACCAGGTCTGGGACCCGAACCACGGTCGACTATGTGGGAGTCCAGCGACACAGCCATTACGCTAACTGCTGGTTCCCGTCCCTTATGCACTCTTGAACCTACTTCTTACTTAGAAGAAATAACTACTGTTATTTTCATTAGTTAAACAGCATTAGAATGGAAATCTCCTTGAAGGTAAAGTTATATTGAGCTTGTTTGCTTGCTTGCTTCCATCCTTCCTTTTTTAAGGTTTAGCCATAGGGTACATGTGCTCACCAGAGAGGGACAGTGAGAAGGAATGTGAGAAATCCCCCCCCCCAGGGGTGATGGCCACACTACAATCCTCTCTCCTCTGTTCTCCTCCTGGGATGCTGGGCACACATATGCACATGTGGCTGACATGGTTTTCAAGCCACTACATCCGGGACTCAACTGTGGCCAGCCATGTGGAAGTCCAGCCACTACATCCGGGACTCAACTGTGACCAGCCATGTGGAAGTCCAGCACTATAATCACTGTGCCACCTGCTGGCCCCACATGTAGCCGCTTTTTCAATGTCCTACAGGATCTGGCAAGGTGACTCGCACTTTCTCAGGAGATCTGTTGTACAGAACCATGTAAACTGAGACAAACCACAACCAGAACACCTGCAGGAAGCTTCTCACAAGCATCCTTTCCTAAAAACCTTGGCATTCTAAACCTCATGTAATCTAGGTAAGTTTGTCTCAGTAACTGTCAGCACTAGTCAACTCCTTCTACTCTGACCCATCAAACCAATCACATAATATCTGCACATGTTTCTCAATGAAAACTATTTCTCAATAAAATATATCATTTCTTTTTTAAAAAAATTAGGTAGCTAAAAACAACAACAAAAACCTTCCATTGTTTAGGTTGTGCAATGAGGACATGGAGAAGTATTATTAACCCTTTATGAAGCAGTCTGGTGGGATCATTAGAAAAAGTACTGTTTTCTTGACTTCTAATAAGTAACACACAAAAATGTGGTTGAAAAGGGAGCTACTCAATTTCACCCCTACCCCTGGTAATCCTATCTGCCTGAGGCAACCAACCCTTAGCTTTTCTTTCTGACTCAAGAGTCACAACTAATGGGTCAGTTGCTACACGATGCTGGAGATGTAGCTATTACAATGGTAGGAAAACAATGACACTGGAAATTACCTTCTTGTAAAAGTTTCTTACTTCTGTCCTTTTTTTGTTTTCTGCTTTACTCTCATAAAATAAAAGCAGGATACTTGCTCTTCCTCGTTCACCCAACCCCTTACTTCAGTCTTCTGTGCCATGTACGTATTTAGCATGCTCCACCCTCCTTCCGCGGCCTCCGGAGCCTCGCTAGCTCTCGCCTCACAGCACCGATTTTCCAAAACGCAGTTGACTCTAAACAGGCAGGTCTATTTGGACCATGGAGACTTTTGCCTAAATGCCTTTAGCTGACACTGCCAGCTTTAGCTTGTACCACTCACAATAGCAGTGTCTTCTTTCAGTGGCTCAATTCGTCTCTTAATCTGTCCACGTTGTATTACTAGCAATAATCCGGTTCAGGCAGCTCTTCCCTTCCCAATGTAGAGGCTTCGTTTGAAAATTGTTCAAGAGAAAAACTGAGGTTGGTGACCTGCATGGGGTGATCAGGTCAACAGCGCAGACAGTGGTACCCAATCTGGGAGTCATCGGAATCCCTATGGGATAACCTCACGTGACAGCTGCAATCGGTCGGCCCTCCTCAAACATCTAAACATGAAAATACAGTCTTCCCAATACCTGGTGAGCTCCTTCAGCGGTTCTCTTCCTATCCTCCCTGGCATCAAGGATACTCAGTAACTGCTTCCTGCCTGTCTCTAGAGAATGAAAAATAGAACTGCCCTTTTAAAAGCAAATCCTCAGAAGTGAATAAAGAATGACTGTTATCTACTGGCGATGCCAGCACTGTTCATCTATTACTCATGAACTCACAAGACTTGGCTAGATTTAGAAATGGCTTTATCTTACTCAAAGACTCCTACAACTTGAATCCATCTATTAATTTGGTTCTACAGATTCAATGTTAAACTCTAGGTGAACAGAGGATCCTTGTTAAAAAAATATTAAAACTGCACTCAAATTTTGCCTAGTTAGACTTATGAAAGAAAAAAAAAACCACAATATTACAACATAACCTAAAAGTCTCCACAGAGTAAGAAATCAATTTTATAGCATTCATAATTAAAAGAAAAATACATGTCTAGAGCTACTCTTCTGGTACTTAGAAATGAACATAAAAACAAGAATTCCTTAATCATCTTAAAACACTGCATTTTTGGTCAGGAGAATAATATAGCACTAGTCAATTTCAATATGGCAATCCCATTTTCTTCCAATTCCATTATTTCTTTATAATTATTCTAGTAGAAATTCATTATGACTTGCATTTCTATATTAAGGATGTGTGTGCATATATATATGTTTATGCATTATATATATATTTATGCATTTTACATATATATGGATATATATCTCCATCCTCAATATAGAAATGTATATCTATATCTATGTATACATATATATATATAATTATGTTATAGATATAAATATCTAGAACAAAGCAAAGGGAAAAGAAACAGAGTATTAGAAATGTTGTGGGTAATGGTTACTGTGAGCTCTACACACACAAACACACACACAGAAAAATGCGTTGAGAAATATGCTTAAGGTTTGTACACCTTATTGAAAAACAGTTGTCTTGATTTATGTCAATTTTTTTTTTAAGGTTTTTGTCATAGGGTGTTTGTGCTCACCATAGAAAGAAACAGAGACAAGGAAAGTGAGAACACCCCCAAGAGGGAAGGCCACACTGCAATCCCTTCCCCTCCCTTTTCCTCCTGGAGGAGGGCATGCATGCACTCACACACACCCAGTATGATTTTCAAGCCACAAGTCCAGACTATAGCCACAGTTGGCCAAGAGGGAGTCCAACACCTTAAACACCATGCCACCTGCTGTCCCCAGTAATAAGAATTTTTTTAAGAAAAAAGAAGAAAAACAATTCGAAGCCAGGAGTGAAGGCAGTATTTGAAATTGCTTAAATTTTCTATTGTTCATTAAATGAGTATTTGTTGAATATCTTCCTTTCTTCCAGACATGGTATTGGGGATAAAGCTATAATTAAGACACAGTGATTATCTTCATAGAGTTAATTATCTAATAGGAGAGGGAGGTAGGTAAGAAACTGCAACAGTGTACAATGAGAGCTATGACAGGAACAAGTGTGGGGCCGTGGGAGCACACAGGGGGTATCTAACTTAGTGCAGGAGAGCCAGAGGTATTAGCCTGCTCCAACACACACAATATCACATATACTAAAACAATAAGATCTATTATCATTTTCTTCTCTGCACATCTGTAAGTATAAAAATGTCATTGTGACATATGTACAAGCTAGATCCTTCATATTGTCTCTAAAGTAATGTCTCTCCCTCAAAATAAACAGCAGAGGTAAAAATGATTCAGGACTCCGACCTACGAAGCATTTCAGTAAGATGTACAAGGGCTCCGAAGCAAATGAATGTTCCAGAGTAAGTTACTAGCCACTGTTACCTAAAGCTGTCTGAAAGAGAGCTCTGCATGGAGTAAGTTACTAGCCACTGTTACCTAAAGCTATCTGAAAGATAGCAATTCTTCGTTGAGTAATATAGACTTCCACTTCAAGTGTGAACTAACCCTCCATCCAGACAAGTTCTTCTCATGCTTAGTAATATAAGTTATTTAGAAAAATCCTGTCTGTGCAAACATAACCAATTTTCTTAAATACGAGGAGAAACCTGTGTAAAGATAGGAAAATCCATCTCTGTCACCAAAAGTCTCAAGTATGTGAATGCAGGAACAGAGAATCATAAAGATAATTAAGCCAAGAAGAAGACTATAAATTCTGGCCAGGTAGCAATGCAGTAGTACATTTCTTTTTTTTTTTTTTTTTTTTTTTTTTTTTTAGTTTTTGTCATAGGGCTCATGCACTCAACAGAGAAGAGGGCGACACAGTGAGAAATCACCCCCCCGGGGGGATGACCATACCACAGTCCCTTCTCCTCTATTCTCCTCGCAGGCTCTTGGGCACGCATGCACAGGTGCCCAGGACTCAATGGGCGGTGGGCCATGTGGGAATCCAGCTGCCTTAACCACCACGCCACCTGCTGACCCCTGCCAAAGTACACTTCTGTCACCCTTGTTCTACACCCACAGCTGCATGATGCATGTTTGTGTACAATGTAACCTACTTCTCTCCAGAAAACAGTGCAGTTCATAAAGTATTCATAGGATGCCCCTGGTTCCATGCCCTACAAAATGGTTAGAGAAGTGGCTGGCAAAACCACTTTCTTCACAAATCTAGGACAGACAAATAATCAGGAAGTTTACACCAAAGGTCTCAGGTCAAAAGACAAGAATGCTAATGAAGGGGCATTGTACAGACGCAGATGAATATACAGACAAGCACAATTTTTTACCTGTCAGCCTTCATCAGCAGGTTAGGAGGCAGTTCCAGGAGCTGGTTGTGCTGCACATCCAAGACCTCCACTGACGTTCTTTCTAGCCGTTCAGGGAGCCTTGCCAACTGGTTGTACCCAGCCAGCAGTTTCCGGAGACTGCTATTACAAAATAAGCTGTACGAAAAGGGACAGAAGACAGAAGCCAACTTACTTAGGGTTAACTTGGGATAAAGATTTAAAAATGAGTAAGAGTAGGAGACTTCTTAAAATTATCTTTCCAAAAACCAAAATTCATTTGGACCAACTACAAATTCATTTGAATATATGCTCAAACTTGGAGTTGTTTATATTTCAATATTTTTCTATATTTTAGAAAGAACAAGGAGGGTAAGAAAAATCTATGCAAAGGGGTATTGAGCAAAAAAGATCTACTCAGTACAAAAACAAGCGTCACAGAATAGACACTGAAGAGATCAGTCTAGTCTTGGTAGATTCACAAGGAAAGCTTTCAAAGGCTGCCTGCTTCTCCAAGGGAGGACTGGTGTCCTGTACTGCCCTAGAAAGCAGGATGTCTTACCCACAATAGATTCTGAATAAATACAGCTGAGAAAAAAAAGGAGCAACAAAAACAAAGGATTCCTCCATCCTTTTACAAATATCAACTGAGAAAAATGTTACATTTTTCTTCTACTGCATTTCACAATCATACTTGCTTTTCCATTTTCCTCCCTCCCTGTTGATGTTTGTTTTCTCTTCTGTTCAACTCTAGTCTAAGTAGAGACTCCTTCCTGAAGAAAGTAGAACACTCTTAACCCACTATTTGCTTGTGAACCTGACACGACTGTTAAGAAGCTTGGCTGAGTTCCTTCTATGGGTATCAGAACTGTAAGGAATAAGAAATACTTGTTCATCTAACTTAAATCTGCATTAGCAGTACTTCAGACTTCTCCAGTTGTAGAGAATAAAATAGGCCCAAGGTTTGGGAACCAGCAGTTAGCGTAATGGCTATGTCGCTGGACTCCCACGTAGTCGACCGCGGTTCGCGTCCTGGACCTGGTGGCTTAAAACTCACGCCGGGCGCGTGTGCGTGCGTGCCCAAGATCCCGAGAGGAGAATGGAGAAGGGATTGCGGCATGACCATCCCCCCTGGGGGGTGATTTCTCGCTTTCTGTCTCTAATGTCTCTCTCTGTCTGTCTGGCGAGCGCATGCGCCCTATAGTGAAAATCTCTCCAAAAAAAAAAAAATAGGCCCAAGGTTTAAACCAGACTCCTGGGGGCTGTGGAAACATGAGGCTGCCAATGCATGATAATCATTCTAGAGTAAGAATTCATGTTACACTGCTTCAGAGAATTAGGCTTCCTCGTGCACCTTCTGTGGTCCACCATTCTGACCTCATTTACTGATCCCACAATTTCTTTTTAATTAACTGTTTTTAATTGACCAAATACTGTATATATTTATAAAATGCAATATGATGTTCTGTTAAATGTAGAGTGGAATGGCTAAATCAAGCTAATTAAATATATACATTACCTCACATACCATCATTTTTTTGTGATGAGAACATTTAAAACCTAATCTCTTAGCAATTTTCAAGAATATAATACATTGTTGTTAACTACTGTCACTGTGCTATTCTTCCTAAATGAAATTTTGTTTCCTTCAGATCACAATTCTTAAAAATCACCATACATTATTATACACTTTAATCACTTTAAATACTCCAACTAGATACTTTGCTTATAAAGATGCTGGCAACCTGCCTCAACCCAGTGACACCACAGGCCACCACTAAAGATATCTGACTTTGCAGATTTAGATATGAGTGTGATAAAACAGACCATCCAGGCCAGGCAGATTATCCATGCAGATACAGCTCAGGGCAGCCTCTGTAACTGCGAATTCAATCCAGTAATTCAGCATTTGTTATATATATTATGTAATTAATATATATATATGTATATGTATATATATATATATATAGAAAATTTTGCTACAGGTCATGTGTGATCATCAGAAAATATTATACATATTCTTTATCCTTTAACACATGGATAATTGAAAGATGGGTGACAAAAAATGTTTTTCTTTTTTCCAAATAAAAAAGATTTGATTAACTGTAGGATAAATATTAAATTCCAAGTATTGCATTTAGTCAATTCTTTTGAAAACCATCCAAGTATTAAAATAATTTTTCTTTGAATAATTTTCACTTGTAAATAGTTTGCTTTGTCAAACCCTCCACATACCTTACGTAGAGTGTGAAGATGAAATAAATGTTAATGAGTCACTGTCTTGCCTGAATATTACATTGATAATATAGGGCTCACACAAAGTTTGCAACTAACCACCATAAATGAGAAAACAATTCATACTGTTTTTGTCTCACATGTTAACACACACACACACACACACACACACATACACACACAGTTTAAAATCTTTGACAATAGAGCATTTGGGATTTGCTATGAAGAAGCATTTGTTTAGATTCCTAAAAAGCTTTTACTGTTTTACTGATGTAGAGAAAAATCTAAGATTAATTTATTTGGGGAAAAATTGGATAAAATACCAGTTAGCTGATAGTTATTTGTACGTGTGTGTGTGTGAGAGAGAGAGATATCCTTGTGTTAGCTTACAGTGGAAAAGAGGCCTTAGACACTAATGCACTATGTGTTAGATTGAGAATGGTAGGGGAGAAGAGGAGTGAAGATAGGAAGAAAGGCATAATCAAAAAATTTTTTCAACAAATTACCCCCCTTCCCCCAAAAAAGTAGCCTGTTCTGATTTCCACAGGTTCTCTTTCTAAAAGGGTCAGGCACAAGGGAAGACGGACACACAGAGGGGGACACACATACATCTTTTGTAATGGTGTAGGCTGTACTAGCTCACCTAAGTGCTCAGTCAACATTTTAGTGCAGAAAGCATTTTCAAAGGACCTAATTTACAGGTGTACTGTAGGGCTGATGAACAAAATGAAATTAACTGAGCTTTTCAGGGACTGAAAATGTCAATCAGATTTCTTTTCTGAGAGCTATATTCTAAGATCAAAAATACAATGTGAGCCACAGATGTATTTTAAAATTCTCTAGTAGCTGCATTTTTAAAAAGTAAAATGAAAGAAGTCAATTAATAGTATATTTTATTTGAGCTAGTATATTCAAAATATTATTATTTTAATTTTGCTATACAGGCACATGCATTCACTAGAGAGAGGAGTGGGAAGAGAAAATGAGAAAGCACCATCCTTAGGGGGATTGTCATGACCCAACCCTTTCTCCATTCTCCTCTTGAAATTTAGGGCACATATGCTCAAGTGCCCAGCTTGTTTTTTTAAGATTCTAGGTCCAGGACTCAAAATCCATGTGGGATCCTAGCGGCCCTAATCACCATGCCACCAGTTGTCCCCAAAATATTATTTTATTTTTTGAGAGGTTTGTGCTATAGGGTGCCTGCGCTCGCCAGAAAGACAGACAGAGACAGAGAGACAGAAGGAAGGAAATCACCGCCTAGGTCAATGGCACGCTGCAGTCCCTTCTCCTTCATTCTCCTCTCAGGATCTTGGACATGTATGCACGTGTGCCCAGCATGAGTTCAAGCCACCAGGTCCAGGACTCAAACCATAGTCGACTGCGTGGGAATCCAGTGACGTAGCCATTACGCCACCTGCTGGTCCCCCAAAATATTATTTTAACACGTAATTCACATACACTAATATGACCATCTTGTATCCAATGTATATGCTACACTTGTACACTTTATGGCCAGGACTAGTCCCATTTCTTGTCCTCAATAGGTAGCTGGTTAATAATCAGCGGCTACCACATTGGATAGCCCCGCTAACACGCTGTTAGCCTTACCAAACAAGTAATCGCCTATGTCGCTGGACTCCCATGTAGTTTACCATGGTTTGAATCCTGTAGCCAGTGGCTTAAACTCTTGCCAGTCATGTGTACGTGCGTGCCCAAGATCCCGAAAGGAGAATGGAGGAGAAGGGACTATGGCGTGGCCATCCCCCTGAGGGGTTATTTCTTGCTTTCTGTCTCTCTGTCTTCCTGATGAGTGCAAGTGCTCTTTAGCAAAAACCTCAAAAAAAAAAAAAAAAAAAAAAAGGGAAAAATTTTTAAAAAAAACAAAATCCAAAAAAAAAAAAAAAAAAAAAGAAGTGAAAAATTGTTGAAAGAATCAAGATTCCAGAGATGAACCAATCATACTGTTTACAGAGTCTTTAAACATTGTTATTGCTTTAAAATTTTCCTACAGTTGGGGCCAGCAGGATATAGCACTGGACTCCCATGTGGTTGACAGCAGTTCAAATCCTGAACTGGTGGCTTGAAACTCACATTGGATGTGTGTTTATGTGTGCCCAAAATTCCAAGAAGTTAATGGAGGATAAGGGATTGTGGTGTGGCCATACCCTTGTGTGTGTGGGGGTGTTGTTTTCTGTCTCTCTGGTGAGCACATGCACCCTATAGCAAAACCCTCTCAAAAAATAAACAAACAAACAAACAAACAAAACACTTCCAACAACCACTGCGTACATATGGCTTTCAGAAGTCTGGCTGAGAGCCAAAGCCTGACTCTATTCCACAAAGAAGGTATGAAAGGTTTTAAAACAAATTCTCTTCGGGGTTCATCATATTAATGACAAGTTAAACACTGAATCAGCAACTTGTGTGTGTGTGTACTGCTCATCTAGTTTGAGATTCTCTCCGTTGATATGTAATACTTACCGGGCAGGAAGTTCACATATTTGATTATGGCCAATATCTAAAACTTCTAGCTTCTGGCTTTCACAAACCCACTCAGGCACACTTTCTAAGCGGTTCCTAAAAATTAAAAAATAAATAAATAAATGAGATACCAAAGAGCAATGAGTATAAAGAAATCAAGGACATATGCCTTCATGTTAGAAGCACAATAAATTGTGATAAAGAAAAAAGTAAAAATAAGAGAGGACATAGTTACATCATCTGAATCATCTCTACAGTCTGTGAACGAAGAGTTTAGTCCAAAGCCTATACGCACACTCCAGTTTAGGGAGACAATGTCTCATACTGGAAAACAAATACACACATATTTCCAACAGCGTCAAGTGGCACTCTAACACACTGCTAGCACACTGATACTTTACTTTTCCAATATAAAGGTTTATTCTTAACATGAAAATACTTACCAACTCTACTTGGCATCACAAAAATAGTCATAGATAAATAGGAAGAGAAGCTTTTTAAAAATGATAGCAGTAAGAGCTAGCAGGTAGCATGGTGGTTAAGGCATTAGATTCCCAATGATTGCCCAGGGTTCGAGTCCCAGACCTAGTGGCTTGAAAATCATGCTACCTATGTGTAAGTGCATGCTCAAAAATCCCATAAGGAGAACAAAGGAGAAGGGACTGCAGTGTGGCCATCCCCCCTGGGGGGTGATTTCTCACTTTCTCTCTCAATGTCTCTCTCTCCAGTAAGCACACATGTCCTAAGGAAGAGGAAGAGGAAGGGGAAGAGGAAGAGGAAGAAGAAGAAAAAGAAGAAGAAGAAAAGAAAAGGAAAAAAATCTTAAAAAAAAAGATACCACTGAAAAGGTGCACTGACAGTTAAGATTCAGACTTTATTATAAGAAAACACTTACTTGGGCATTAAGATGGTAATTATAATTACCAGAAACAAGTAAACTAAACAAATGGTGACTTTAATTATTAAATGAGTTTGCCATTACTTAGACAAATCTACTATATTTGAATGCCTCCCTAGTCATACATGGTTAGCCTTTTACTTGTTTTAAATAGTGGAAATGACAGGCATGGAGAATATAAAATGGTACGCATGACTGCAATTCTTTACGCACAGATGAACAATTCTATTTAAATTCTCTGATGCTTGGAACAAGGACTATGAAGACCATAAGATGTTACAGCAGAAGTGAAAACAGTCGTGAGGTTTGAGGGGTTGAATTTTGTGAGACTTAAAAATGATGCTTTTAAATTTTGCTACTATATTGACTTTTCAGTAAGCATACAAAAACAGAAGTCACAGTCTATTCAGTGTCTACACAGGCATACATAGTTCTGTTTTCAAGGCCTGAAGAGTGACAGATGCAATTTTTTACTTTGGTAGTCCCAAAACATCTGAACAAGCTGGAGTGAAGACAGGCCCTGCCATGTTGTTGCAGGTAGTGTGGCACTCTGCAATGCTGGAGGCCACATGGAAAACCCATGATTTGGATCCTGGGTCAACCTGAGCATGCCAGGGGTATGTAGGTACATATGCACCCTTGATGCTGGCTGGTGGAAAAGTCAGGTGGGGGGCTGCAACAGAGGAGGCCCTGTCGAGGCAGGCTGTGTCCCTCTCTCTTTTGAACAACAAATACACTAAAAAAGAGAATGAAAATATTTCTCAGTAAAAGATCGATTTCAAAAACTTTAAACCCCTCTAAGTAAAACTCAGAACTTCATCCTCAGGAACTTTAAGGATCTTGCAAACCCTATGAGGGACAACAGTTTGGGAAGGGGATGAGGTAGAGCATGTTACAGTCAAGATTCTAGATGTGAGAGTTACAAAATGAAGATGAATATTATCTAAGCGACGGAATTCAGGGACAAACATAACACAAGAGTTTTCAATCAGTCTCATTCAGGAGTTTTAATGGATACCATTTGCCAATTATATTCTATAAATAAAAGGAAAATAGATTCTCGCTATGGTGGACTCTGAAATAAATCTGTTCAAGACATTTATATCCACTCATGTATGCAAACCCCACTCCTATACTGTTCTTAATTGAATGGTGACAATAACAACCTTCAGGATCAATAGAGAAAAGATGGGAATGTCTGATTTCAAGTTCATTCAGAAAAATTGTCTGATGTGTACTTATGTAGGAAATGCATGAAACACTACTCAGAGAATCTCATAATTTTTAATTTATAAATTTATACTGAGTGATAATTGTACTAATTAAAAAAAAAAAATATTAACACATTCTTAAATAATTATGATTGAGGACACTACTAAAGTAATTGAGACTCTGTACTTCTATAACAAAACATAAAATTCTGTATATAACAAATCATACTTGTTATGAGTTACATTATGGTTTGTCCCCCAAAGTTTCATGTTTTGGAATGTGAGGCTGGAAGATGGTGAGGCCTAGTGGGTGGTAATTGGTTCGTGGTGATTGTGTCATGGAGACAACACTCATGAATAGCTTAATGGTGTCTCCTGAGGCCCAGGGGTTTTAGATCTCATAAGAGGAGGTTAGTTCTTTAGAGAGCTGGTTGGTATAAAAGACAGAGATCTCAGAAGTGTGTTCTCTCTCTCTCTCTCTCTCTGCATATGCCTGTCATCCTCTGTACTTCTATTTCTGTGTAGTCCTAGTCCGTTAGACTTTCCAGCCACCAGAATCATGAATTTCAAAACTTCTACTTCTTTACAGTTCACCCAGTTCAAGTATTTCTATTAGCAAGGTAGTAATGAACTAACCATGATTACAAAGTACGGTGATTATTATCAAACATATCAGAGTTTATACACTGAGTTAACAATTATCACCTTGAAAGGGAAATAGACTTCCAAGTGTTCAGAAAATAGGGGTATTTCCTCTGAAATTACCTTCAAAATGAATTTCAATTACAGTGTGTTAAAAATATTAACATGTGAGACCAGTGGGGGTGTGGTGCTGGACCTCTACATGGCCGGCCAGCCATGGTTGGAGTCCTGGACCCGGTTGCTAGAAAATCACTCTGGACAAGAGTGCGTGTATGCCAAAACTCCTGAAAGGAGAATGGAGAAAGGATTGTGATGTGGCCATCCTCCCTGGAGTTGTGGGGTAATTTCTCACTTTCCCTCTCTCTGGCAAGCACCCTATGGCAAAAACCTCAAAAAGAATTTTTAAAAAATAGCAATTTTTAAGTGTAATTTGTGTCAATACTTGCTGTAGATAGAGTTGTACTTTTGTGGCCTCAGGAAAAGGTCTACTGTCATACTGGTGGGAACCAGAATAAATATGATACACTGCAAAAGCTATTAATCATTTGCATAAAAGTTTTTGCATAAGAAGTCAGCTTATTCAAAATTAAGCAGGTTGTACAGAGGTCCTATTTCGACAGGCTCACTCACTATTTTCTGAGGGTTCTTAGCAAGAAGATACATATATAAAATAACAAAGGTGGGGAGATCAAAATAAATACAGCATTTAAAAATATAAAATTACATCATTTCAGGGACAGACACCAAAGACATAGTTAATATAATTAAAGGGTTATTGAATGTCAAACTATGACTCCAACTCATTAATCTTTAAAACCCAAAATGCAGTATTCAAATTAGTGTCCAAAATAATACCATGATTCTTCTGATTTAAACTACAGTTGTACAACTGTAGTATTTTAATCCATAGACAGTAATATATATTTTTAGAGCTTAAATAGAAACTATTAAATCTAATTTTTCATACATACATTCAACACAAAAAAGATATGCTTATGCATAAGATCAGACAGAATTATCTAAAAAAATTTTCAAGTAGACTGGAGGGCACGCCGAGATAACTTCATACCTTGAAACATCCATGTAGGATAGATAATTTGGAACTGGATAAACATCAAGTTGAACAAGTTCTAGAAAGGGGACAAAAACACAAAACATTACTATCCAAGTGACACAGAGACTCTTTTTGTATGTAGAACATCATGACTATGCTTTATTCTCCATTGTTTGTTTAATTTAGGAAGTACAATATCTCCATTTGTTCAATTGTGAAACTACAGGAAAGTGAAGAGAAGTAATTTAATCACAAGATCTTATCCAGAGATCAAAATAAATCACTTATTCTACTTTCCTCTTTCCTCTCCATTTACTGTGGTTTTCCTCTTGTTATGCATGTTAAATTATTTCTGGAAGACTAACCAAATGAATACCATCTTTTTAACATTCAGAGTTCTTCCATTAAACCAAATGTGCCTTATCTTTTGGCATTTATCACCTACTGAAATGGCACTCCAGAGGGTCACAAATGACTTCCTCTACTGAAATCTGAAAACGTCCCACAAAATTTTATGAAATGTGATACTACTGTCCATCTAGAGTCTGTTTCTCAGAGTAGTTTCTAAACATCCTTTTCTTCACGAGAGATTTACCAAGTAGTCCACAGGTCTGGCTGGTCACTCTGGCCCCAGGGGGGCTGTGAGTAGCCTGTAAGTCAGCTCTCTCCTCTCTTCCTCTTACCTTACCCTCTAGGTTTCTGGTACAGCCACTGAGAAATGAGTCTCAAATCAGTATCTGCACTCTGATATAAGGTCCCATGAGCTCACACAAAATCCACGACAATAACTTGGATTGGCAGGGTGGGGAATTATCTCACTCTTCTCCCATAAACACATTCTGTACAGTAATTCCACAAAAACGATCTTAAAGTATCGCTTCCATTACACAGCTCCTCCACTTAAGAACTGGTCCTCTGGGGACCAGCAGATGGTGTCATGGTAACATCACTGGACTCCCACGTAGTAGACTGCAGTTTCAGTCCCAGAACTGGTGACTTAAAACTCATGCTGGGCACATGTATGTGCATGCCCAAAATCCAGAAAGGAAAATTAAGGAGAAAGAATTGTGGCCTGGCCATCCCTCCTTTGGAGTGATTTCTCACTTTCTGTCTTCGGTGAGCACACATGCCCTATTGCAAAAATTTCTCTCTCAAAGAAAAAAAAAAAGAACTGGTCATCTTAGTTGACTGTAGTAAGTTCAATGCTTTACTATCTGACTCAGCCATGCATCCCATAATTACTTTTATGGGTTCTGAATTCCCTGTCTTCTCCAAACTGCCAAACAAGCCACATCCGGCTCCTTTCGTCACACTCTGCTCCCCCGACTATCCCAATAGTATAACCCCCGAAGCTCAGCCAGTGATTACACTGAGACTCGCCCCTATTGAGATATACCTTGTTTTCCTACCGAGATGACGATGAGCACATTTTTAAGAAATCTCTTATTTTTAGAATTCATGAGCTACGCTATGCATAAAGTAAGTGCTAGATAAATATTTGTTCAACTTGCAGTAGCAAATACTTGTTTCTTATTCACTCTGTTCATTGTAGGGGATTGAGATCTTCACTTATCAAACATATGCCCATATTACCGTGCCTTTTTTGGACCTGTCGTGCTTTTCAAATTCTCGGGAATAGATCTCCCTAACTGATTAAGACTCTTACTTTATGGTATGGCTGTGGGTATATAACTCTGATTTATTTTAAGATGAGCTCCTTTGTTAGTGAAATATGAAGCTGGAGATCCTCAGTAAAGTCCACAATGGGCTTTCATTTCAATCCCCAGCATTAAATTAAGGTTCTAGATTTGTTATCTTAATGAGGTAGCACAAGAAAGAGTTAATTCTTTCCCCTCACTTTAAGAATCATCTGGAAAGTTGTAATAACTTATCTAAGAAAAAACAAGTTTGGAAAAAATGAAATCTTTCCTTTGATTCCTTTAAGTATCAAACTAGCTTTCTTCTTCCGTGACTTTCATCTTAGCAAAATCTGACACTTACTTTACTAAATAAATGAGAAAAGAAAAAGCAGAGAAGCAAAGGTGATGATTTTGAGTAAATTCTTAGAACCAAAAGAGAAGCTTTGATGTGGTCTGTGTTACATACCATTACAAGAAGCATAGAGGGCTTTTAGGAAATAGCCACAGATGTTCAGTGTCACCAGCTGATTCCTTTCACAGTGTAAAACCTCAATGTTGTTGAAGATCACAGCATCCAGGTCCCCAAGTTTGTTGTCTCGCAGGTCGAGCTGAGTGACGTGCTGTACAAAGTCCACTTCATCTGCTATTAGCCTCCTAATTACGTTCAACCTGGAAGGGAAAAGAGACCATAGGGACTGTAATGGACTGCAATGCTGTCAATCAATGGCTGCGTCCTAATAGGACAACAACAAGAAAGGACTCAAGTTACACTGTGTTTCTGTTCTCCACGATTTCGTTAATCTCAGCATCTGACCTGCCTCGAATGCCTGGATTCTCTGACTCTTTTTAGCTATAATTCCTTGAGGTTTTAACCTTCACAATATATTCTGAAGCACAAGTTAGACCACTAAGGCAGAAAGAGGAACAAGCACATTGATTTTAGCTTAAATCATTTCAAGAGGGAAAAAAGTTCACTGATACACTTACTTGTAAAGAGCTAGGCTGTAAACAACTGACGCCATACTAGAAAGAACATTAGAAACACAATTCCAAAAATGCCATTAGACACGTTATAACTACATAGGATACTGAAGGAAGGAAAGGGGATGGGTGAGCAGGCAGAGGGGCAGGTGTGAAGGACAGGATTAAACGGTGAACAGGGAAACTGTAACGACCAGGAGTCACACCACGAAGGGGATCACAGAGACAGGAATGCATGAACATGGATTCTCGAACCTCAGAACCAGGACTGACCACCAAATCTATCTCCTTCTTTAAAACGTTGCTTAGAAGAGCCAAGCACAGAAAAAACTGAAATGTGGCATCTAGTATTCACTGAGTAACCATAGGACTAAGGACAACCATGGGGATCAACAGCTCTAGGATATAGCAAGGCACAGGGGGAAACTAGCAGCCCACTCTCTAGCCCAGATAACTAGTAGTGAACTGAAGGCTTCTGTGGATGAGCAGCCAGGAAATAAGTTGTAATGGGGACTAGGAACCATACCACAAGGACACGTTTAGCTGCAAAGGGGAGAAAAATAGATGAAAACCTCATTCCAACTTTGTAGACTGTGCCTAATTCCTTTATAAACGAACAGGGGCCAGCAGACTGTTAACCACTTGCTAGCATGGTGGTTAAGGCACTGGACTCCCACATGGCTGACTGCGGTTTGTGTCTCAGACCCAGTGGCTCGAAAATCACTACCAGGCATATGTGTGTGCATGCCCAAAATTCCAAGAGGAAAATGGAGAAGGGGGACTGCAGCATGGCCATTCCCTTGGAGGTGTAACCTCTAACTTTCCCTTTCTCTGTCTCTCCCTCTCTCTCTGGTGACCACTATGAAAAAAACTTAAAACGAACACACACCAACAACTTCCTACTTCTCATTAGAAAGCCGACAAAGTGCTCAGACCATGCACTTGATCAGAAGAGCATTAATATTAAGGATGGAGTTCAGGGAAAAGCCAAAGGCCCTCTGCAGGGAATTTCTGCTCTTTTAAAAAATTAAAACTATGACAAATGAATTATTAAGAGCAATATCATAAAGCCACTGAAATACAAGGATGAGTGACAGCAAAGAGCTGGGATTCTTCAAACAACAGGCAAACACAGCATATGGCCTCTTCAAATGTCCCCAAGAGGATTTTTTTTTGGCTCCTTCTCTTTTTTTATTCCAGGTTGTAAGATTAAAAAACTGGCCTCGACCCAACAATCTCCCTTTATCCAAATGTTCACTAGATCACGAGAATGTGTGCTCTGACTGAAAAAGAAAAAAAAAAAACAAAGCTCATCTTGGACACAGCAGACTGCAGGAATTGAAAAAATGTCCCATGTTCTCCCAAACGACACTTTAAGTAACCTTCAAAATGGCATTATCATCTTCATTTGAAGCTACACATAAACACAATGTCATTATATTAGTACTAAAAGAATATTACAAGTGTAAATTTAATGAGGATAAAAAAGAAAATCTGTATAACAGAAAAGTTAACATTCCTATTATTTAAATAAAATTGCCAACTCTAAACATAATTCAAATATTTTAGGCTGACACAGTAATATACTAATTTGGGAAAAACTTCTTAAGAGGCAAAATGTGGTTTCAATGCCCTTTCCATAATCCCTTCAGCTACCACGCCATTTTATTTATTTCATAAATGCATTCGAGCAGTGCCTCGTGTAGGAGGGCAGGACTGGTAGCCCAAGCTGGCCACTCGCACTGGGTCGATGTGGCCCTGAGCAGCCCCGCAACGTCACTGAGTTAACCTGTGAACCGGGGTAACACCTTCCTTGTCCTGCAAAGCACCTGAAGAGATCAAATGAATAATACAAGTGCTGGGACACTGCAACCTGGAAAGGGCTGTGGTGAGGGTGCTGCTGACCTATGGCTTTGTAGTGATCGAAGACGAATAAAATAAGGTGTTTGTCAACAGGTTTCATAGCTTAGTGAGGAGAATCAGATAAGCTTTAAAACATAAATTTTAAGAACTTTAAGCATAGGATAAGTGACAAAAATGAGGTATAAAGTATGGACAATGGGCAAAAAAAATGCTGAGGAGAAGGGACCAACTCATGTGAGTCCCAAGGGTTGGGAGAATTTAGTAGAAAACGGGGTAAGAAAGGCAGTCTACAAGAAAAGGCAGGATGGCTTCTGGACTGAAGAGAAGACTATAAGGACAGTTTCCTGCCTAAACTTATGTGCTCCTCAGGATGACAGGGCAAGTGAGAGTAGTGAGAAAGTGGCTACAAAGGTCAACACTTGGGGATAAAGGAAAAATAAGAGCAGCCCTGAAGTTACTTTTGGTGAAGGGCCTACTCTCTCCGTTTCTAACCCATTACGGACTGACCACTGTGCACCAGTACATGCCTCAATGGCCTGTGACCCCCCATACGAACATGACAACACCTAAGACAGTTAATGCCTTGTATGATAAGCTGAGCTTACTTAAAAACTCCTGGATACGGTGACAGTGTCAAGTCACTGCGTGTTTCTAAATCATCAGACTCAATTTCAGGACATATCTCATTCTGGAGAAGTCATGATAGTCAGCTTGCTAGCACAGGTTGGAGGACCACGCTGGAGAGCTCTGAGACAGATCCTCCCACTCAAGGGGCTCACACGCTACTGGGCTGAATGCAGAGACGAAAACTGACTACCTTGGACGAGAAAATTCAAGGGTCCTAGCAAGACTGTGCTTATGTGAGAGGCTGCATGATAGAAGTAAATAGCTTGACTAGAAGACAATAGTAGTGGGACCAGCAGTTAGTGTAATGGCCATGTTGCTGGACTCCCATGTAGTCGACCGTGGTTCGAGTCCTGGACCCGGTGGCTTAGAACTTACACCGGGCATGTGTGCATGAGTGCCCAAGATCCCAAGAGGAGAATGGAGAAGGGACTGTGGTGTAGCCATCGCCCCTGGGGGGTGATTTCTCGCTTTCTGTCTTTCTGTCTCTCTGTCTCTCTCTGTCTGGTGAGCACACACGCACTATAGCCAAAACCTCTCAAAAAAAAAAGACAAAAAGAAGACAACAGAAGTATCAAGAAGAAAAAGGAAGAAATGAAAGAAGGGACACAATCTGGTGGTGGCAGGCTGGAAACAGAGCCAAAAGTCTGTGTCTAGATAACCAGTGAGGCAGTGCTGGTGCCAGCCAAAACAGGAATCCAAGGGCGACAACTGGTTGAGTAAGGAAAGCAGCTGGACTGCTTCACAGGTATTCGATTAACTGTGTCAACATGGGAAACCAAGGAGAAATCACCCAAGGAGCAGCTGAAGTGAAACTGGTCCCAAGAAGAGAAAGAAGGGCAAGGGAAAGATTAGGGAGTAATTAATATCAAAATAAAGGGACAGAGATGAAGCCCAAATATAAAGGCAACCACCTAGGCAGAAAACATGAATAGGAAATGACTGAGAAGAGAGAAGGGACAGAGCAGATAGGAAGGGGAGGAGGAATTATTAATGATGCCATAGAAGAAATAATGTCAGACTCCAAGAACATCAATATAAGGTGAAGGGTAAGATTAAAAGAAAAATGGGATCAGCAGATAGTATAATGGTTATGTCGCTGGACTCCCACATAGTCGACTGTGGTTCGAGTCCCAGACCCAGAAGCTTAAAATTCATGCCTGGTGCCTGTGTGTGCGTGTGCCCAAAATCCTAAGAGGAGAAGAGAGGATCAGGGATTGTGGCATGGCCATCCCCACCCTCCACCAGAGGGTGATTTCTCACTTTCAGTCTTTGTCTCTCTCTCTCTCTCTCTCCGGCGAGCACACATGCCCTGTAGCACAAATCTCTCTTTAAAAAAAAAGAAAAAGAAAGACGATCCCCTTCAATCTGGTGAAACATTTCTATTTGAAGGAAATTCAATCCATAACACTAGCCATTGCTTAGAGAAACTAAGTGAATCTCCCTTAAATTACCCTACTAGTTGTAATTTAAAGAATGAAGTCAGAATTAAAAGCAAATCTGACCAGATATCCCTTCCTCAGGTCAACGACCTAGAGGGAAACGATTACATATCATGGTCATTCGACATTTACAGAGTACATAATTCACTCTGTATTTAGATATTTCATAGCTGACATCACCTAAAAAGAATGACTCAAGTTACAACTAGAAATCTGAAGAATTTTTAAACACTTACTAAGAAATACTACTTTTGGCCATATTAGATTGATATGAGTTGTAAACTAAAGGAAAATGATGTCTTCTTACATGTGTCAGGAAACTTGGAAATCATCTCATACACGTTACCTGAGGAAAATGAAATGCATCGCTCTTGGCTCTAACAAAGTTCCATTACTGGATGGTGGAGCAAAAAAGGGCCTAAAGTCTAGAATATGAATAATACAAGTGCTGGGACATTGCAACCTGGAAAGGGCTGTGGTGAGGGTGCTGCTGACCTATGGCTTTGTAGTGATCGAAGACGAATAAAATAAGGTGTTTGTCAACAGGTTTCATAGCTTAGTGAGGAGAATCAGATAAGCTTTAAAACATAAATTTTAAGAACTTTAAGCATAGGATAAGTGACAAAAATGAGGTATAAATCCAACTGACTCAGAGACAAGTCAGTAAGAATTTAGAAAGAAAGCTAATAAGACAAATTGTTTAGCTCCCAATCTTGTCACATTTCAAAAACTTCCCAAAGTCAGATAAATTATAACCATTTGTACTCTCCAAATTAAGTATTCTAGATTTGCAAATTGCTAACAGTTCCCTAGGTGGAACATGTCTGAATACTTTTGTTTGAGGAAAGATAAAGTCAAGCGACTCTCTTTATGGGAATATATGTAAAGAGATAAGCCAAACTTGGGACAATCAGATGGTGTAATGATTATGTTGCTGAACTCCCACATAGTCTGGCGGTACGAGTCCCAGACCTGTGGCTTAAAAGCACTCACACCGGGCACGTGTGATTGACTGCCCAAAATCCAAAGAGGAGAATGGAGGAAAAGGGACTGCAGTGTGGCCATCCTCTCTGGGGCATGATTTCTCACTTTCTATATGTCTGTTTCTCTCTGTCTCTCCGGGAGCATACATGCCCTATAGCAAAAATCTCTCTTAAAAAAAAAAAAAGAGAGAGAGTGAGTGATAAGCTAAACTATACAAATGGAGAAAAATAGGGAACAAAAGATGATACCACCTTTTACTGACGGACAAGCCCAAGTAACAGTCTGGGGTGATCAAAAGAGAGGAAAGTGGATGGTGAAGCAAAGAATCATGTTTGACAGAGAGATACAGAGATGTCAAGACTGACAGCTGAGCAGGTTCCATGAGTGGAGAGAATCCTCAATCAGGTAATGGTAACAGAACAGGACGCTTGCTGGGAGTGCCAAGTACTCAATTCTCTCCACAAGTCTGTAAAGTAGGTTCTATTACTTACTGCAATGTAAGGATGAGAACACAGAGGCACAGAGACATTAGAAATCGTGCCCAAGTTTTCTGTTGTTGTTGTTCAAAGGTGCAACTTGTCAGACAGGGACAGAGAGACAGAGAGAGGAGGAGAGGAGAGGAGAGGACAAAGCACCCCTCATGAGGAATGGCCGTGTTGCAATGTCTCTTTTTCCATATCTCCTTTCTTTCAGAATTCTGGAAATGCATGCACATGTGTCCAGTGTGTGACTAAGCTAGAGGGTCTACAATCTTATGGTTAGTCATGTGAGTTCCACTGCTCTGACCATCAGGCCACAGAGCTGGTCCAATCTTCCATAAGGTTTAACATGGCAACTATGTGGCCATTGACTCCTGGCTAATGAGAGAAACAGTTGGGTAAAAAAAAAGTATTAAATTGCATAAGTTAGTATGAAGGGTAAGCTATCTATGTTGCTTTATAGAAACTTAGGCCCAGAACAAGCTCTTGTTTTTTCTTAAAAGCAAAACAAAACAAAACAACAACAACAAAAAACAGACAGACATTTAGAGCACCTTCTTCCTTGTGTACTAATTCTCTGAGCATTAGAAATGAAAACTTAACCTACCTTACTAACGGGTACTAACTAAGCATCTACCAAGAACAAGCACTGTGTGAGCAGTTTCCAGCTGGGGTTTAGTGTGAGCAGGACACAAACCATAGGTTCCATGTCCTTGCAAAGGGTGAGGTGCAGGTTCAAGCCAAACTCTGGTCTGATGAGATTATGAGCTTCATAATTTTGTGGGAAACTAAGAGTAGAGCCACCCACGTGGACATACAGAAAATTAAAATAAATAAGTAAAATAAATAAATTTAACCTAGTGGACACAAGAAGCCAAGGAAGGAAAAAATTAAGAAAGGAGAGATGTTCAGTGATAACAAATGCCTCAGATAGGCCACAGAAAAGAAGGTCTAAGAGAACATATATACTGTCAATTATATCATTTTCTTTTTTAAAAAAAAATTTCATTTATTATTTAAATTTTTTTTAAAAATTTGACCAGAGAGAGACAGAAAGAGAGTGAGCGGGCGAGAAAGTGAGAAAGCAGACTTTCAGTTTCTGGGACTCAAACCATGGTCAGCCATGCGAGAGTCCAGCACCCCAACCACCACACCATATGTTAGCCCCAATTATATAATTTTCATTCACTATATGTAGCTCTCTGACTCAGTGGTCCTACCTATGCACACGAATTAGAATGGCTTTGAATTTGCAAAACAAAGCAAAACCTTCAAGACACATGGTCATTCATTAACGAAAATCTTTCTCTTTTTTTTTTCTAAATCAAGTTTCAAGTAAGAATAAATCCTATAAACTATTAATTATTATTCTTCCCTCTAGGCAGAAACGGGAAAATGGGACCTACTTCATCTAATCAGCCTGTTCACCTTGGCTAATCTCACCAAAAGGGCTATCACCTACCCTTCACATATAAGCCGACCATGCAAATAGGACATATTTCTCAACAGTGGTTACCTTAGATCCACATGTTTAATGTGAGGCATTTTTCTTAAAGCCTGTAGCCGAAGGGTCTCCATGCAGTTTCCAGACATACAAAGCTTATCCACGGCAGTCAGTTTCTCCAACACCTCTGGAATGTCAGTGAATTCGTTGAATGAAAGACCAAGATAACTAAGCTGATGCATGTTCTCCAACTCAGC